TGTTACCGTGGTGAAGAAGCAAGGTGGGACCATATATGTTTATGTCAGAAAAAATGGGTCTTAAATGTGTGCCCTTATTACACACTCAACAAACACGGTGATTAATGGCCGCTTAAGGTTTCACTTAATGCGATTCATTTAAAAATGGCCCATATAAATGTTATATGGGCCATTTTTTATTTTTATTTTTTTCTAACATGAAAAGAAGAATCCGTGTGTCTCCTAGTCCTAGTTATTATTATAAGAATAAAATCTAAAGGATTTTTGGTAAAAAACATGATTAGCATATTTAAATGAATAAACGACAGGTTTGTTCCAACGGAAATTCGTCAGTTGCATTAGGTCCATTATTCGCATTTAGAGAGCCCATACAACTCATCTGGGCCACCCTAATACCCGACCCGGACCGGATCTTCTCTTGTTTGAAATAAAGCAAAGGGAAGGGAAGGCTTGACTTTTGAAGATACCGAGGGAGGCCAAAAAGAAAGAAGTTGTTGGTATGTGAAGTCTTAATAATCTATAATTCGATTTGAGAGATGACATATCAGTTACTTGTAAAGGGACAAGAAATGTCGAGTAGCTGGGGAAGTAACTCAAGAAGTAGTAATAGCTCGGGAAGCGATGTCGAAAACCCGTTTAATGTTGAGGAGGAGGAACTCTTGCAGATTGGAACAAGATGTAGCGAGGTGAATCTATCTTCTTTTTCTCTCTATATATATACATATCTCATGTCTTTATAGATCAAGAAGATGTAAGGGAACTTGATTCATGTTTTGCTTGTCTGATTTTGTAATTGCAGCTAAGGAAAGAAAAGGATTTGCTTAGAGAATCACAGTCTCAGAGTGTTGAACTCGTCAGAGTTAGTGTTTAGACAAGTTATTTTGTTCATCGATGATTCGTCAAATTTTTCTGAATTTTGTTATCTTTTTGTCACCATAGAGGTTGGAGCTTAACGCGAATTCCTTGTCAGAGTCTCGTTTAGAAGATGAGAGAAGGATTCAGACAATGGAGAAGGAGTTGTTGAATTGTTACCAGGAGATTGGTAATGTCTTTACTTTTTTAGTCAATCAATGTGTTCTTTGAGATTTTTACCTCTCAAGTGAATTTCTTTGGCTTGCAGATTACTTACGCAATGAAGTGAATTTAAGAAGCAAAGAAGTGAACTACCTTACTGAACATGTGCTCGATCTTGAACTCAAAGTAAACGAATCAAGGAAATTGGAAGAAAAAGTTAACTGTTTGATGGAGGAGTTGTGTACATCGAAATCTGAGCAACTAGTGTTGTTGCAAGAGCTCGAGAGAACAGAAACTGAGCTACACTTGTCTGTGTTTTCTGTAGAGAAGCTTGAGGAGTCTATCACATCCTTAACACTGGAGTCCCAGTGTGAGATTGAAAGCATGAAACTTGATATAGTAGCGTTGGAGCAGGCCCTATTTGACGCTAAGAAAGTTCAAGGAGTAAGCATCCAAGAAAGCGATAAATTGAGAGAAATAGTCGAGGAGCTACGGTTGAAGTCTCACGAGGCGCAAGAGTACGCCAAGTGCTTAGAGAAGCAAAATGAGGAGCTGAGGGAGAGATTTGCCGCCTCTGAAAGGATCGTCGAAGAAGACTTTTTTCGAAGCTTCAAAGAACGGTTACCAAGTAAAAGTGAAGCGCCTGTAAATGCAGAGTAGGTTCCAGCTTAACACCTATATAAATACATCCAGCTCGAGGCATTCACATTTCATAGTTCTGCTGGTTTCTTGTCTCACAGAGAATGTTTCCTTGAGATCGTCGAGAGTTTGGAGGCTTCACAGGATGTGAATTTGAGAGATAAAATGGCAAGAAAGATACGCCAATACGAAGATCTTGTGAAGCAGCTCAAGGTATTACCTAAAAGAACTCATAGAATTAAAGATTGGTGCCTTTTTGGTAACCTTAGACATGTTCTAACTAGTTTCAATGTTACTTTGTTACGCCTAAGGATGAATTGAAAGAAGAGAAACTAAAGGCCAAGGAAGAAGCAGAGGACTTAACACAAGAAATGGCTGAATTAAGATATAACATGACATGTTTATTGGAAGAAGAATATAAGCGACGAGCATGCATCGAACACGCATCATTACAAAGAATAGCCGATCTTGAAACACAGGTACACTTGTTTATATCTTCTTATTATAATGTTTGTGATCCTGAAGGAACCTAACAATATCTCTTCTTTTTTTTTCTTGTCAAGATCAAGAGAGAGAAGCATAAGTCCTCTACTTGCATTAGAAATTGAGACTTGTAAGAATGAAACTGCTTCTTCAGCAACGTTCAAAGATCTTTGATTGAGAGAATGTTGTGGAAACTGAAAGTCAATGGTCGTTGACCAAAGTGTCTTTTACAGTTTTGCTATATCTTGGGGCCTTGTGATGAGCCGAGTGCATTTGGGCCGATTTAAAAAAAAAAAAATTATTTTTTAAGTATTTTTTCCCTTTTTGGCTCTTTGTCAAAAGAAAAAATCTGATGTAGTTGTAACTATCATGTATGTGCAAAGTCTTGTTGTAATCTACTTGATGATTCAATGGAATTGAATGAATGGGTCAAGGAAAATAACCTGTTATGTGTATTGTTGTCTAACCTAATCCAACTTGACTTTAAGAAAAAACCTAATCCAACTTGATCTTCACTCAAGATTAAGAAGATATGTTGAAATTAAGAACAAGTTCTTATTGATGTAATTGTAATAAATCAAATAGTTTGATAAATTGGG